GCCCCTGTTGGCGGTTCGGCGGCACCGACTGGATCCCGCTCTGCCTTGGGCTTGGTACCTTGCACAGTCCCAGCCAAACCCCGCCCTGGTGGTTTCCTGGTGGCTTGGTTGGCACCTGCCAGAATCTGTCCAGCTTTGGGCCGGGTGATCCGTACAGTACTGGTTGGATCCCGCCCTGCTTTAGGCTGGGTGACACGGATGGTAAGGACTGGATCCCGTCCTGTCTTGGACCTGTTGGTGCCAGCTGGATCCCATCCTGCTTTGGACCTGTTGGTACCAGCTGGATCCCATCCTGCTTTGGACCTGTTGGTTCCCACTGGATACCTTCCATCCTTGGACCTGTTGGTGCCAGCTGGATTCCATCCTGCTTTGGACCTGTTGGTTCCCACTGGATACCTTCCATCCTTGGACCTGTTGGTGCCAGCTGGATTCCATCCTGCTTTGGACCTGTTGGTTCCCACTGGATACCTTCCATCCTTGGACCTGTTGGTGCCAGCTGGATTCCATCCTGCTTTGGACCTGTTGGTTCCCACTGGATACCTTCCATCCTTGGACCTGTTGGTGCCAGCTGGATTCCATCCTGCTTTGGACCTGTTGGTTCCCACTGGATACCTTCCATCCTTGGACCTGTTGGTGCCAGCTGGATTCCATCCTGCTTTGGACCTGTTGGTTCCCACTGGATACCTTCCGTCCTTGGACCTGTTGGTGCCAGCTGGATGCCGTCCTTCCTTGGACCTGTTGGTGCCAGCTGGATCCCATCCTGCTTTGGACCTGTTGGCTCCCACTGGATACCTTCCGTCCTTGGACCTGTTGGTGCCAGCTGGATGCCATCCTGTCTTTGACCTATTGGTGCCAGCTGGATGCCATCCTGCCTTGGACCTGGTGGCACCAGCTGGATCCCGTCCCACTTTAGACCTGGTGGCACCAGCTGGATCCTGTCCTGCCTTGGGCTTGGTGCTCTGGATGATGCCAGCTGGATCCTGTTCTGCTTTGAGTCGGCTGATCCTGATGATACGAATGGGATCTCGTCCCGCTTTGGTTTGGGTGGTCCCAACTCGACCCTGTCCTGTGGGGCGCTGGGTGCCGGGGATGGCACCAGTCGCACTCCATCGTGTGGGGTGCTGGGTGCCGGGGGTGGCACCAGTCGCACTCCATCGTGCGGGGTGCTGGATGCCAGGGGTGGAACCAGTTGCACCCCATCGTGTGGGGTGATGGGTGGTGGGGGTGGCACCAGTAGCATCCCATTGTGTGGGGTGCTGGGTGCCAGGGGTGGTGCTGGTCAGGCCCTGTCCTGCAGGGTGCTGGGTGCTGCTGGCCGGCGGAGAGGTCCTTGTCGGTGACAGGAGGTCCCCTTGCCCTGTAGCAATGAGAGGGTCACTCAGCCCAGGTCAGGGTGGGCACCCAGGTCCGAAGGCAGGGGCATCCCTTGGGGACAGGGATCTGGGACATGGGGAGGGACCCCAGCATGGGGGGGGTTATGGGCGTGACCCCCAGATCTGCTCTGGTCCCCAACCCCATAGCTGGGCCAGGGTGGCAAAACACAGGGTCCCACGTTGCAGCTGGCTCCTTGCACGGGGGGCACGGGGAACCCCAACCCCACTCCTCCTACCCTTGGGGGTTGTCCTCGCAGGCTGGCTGGCTGCGGTGCTCCGGGGAGAGCCGGGGCTGCGGGGCTGCGTGGAGGGGGGCACCCGGACAGGCTTCATCCGTGTCTGGTGGGGAGTGGGCTCTGCAGGGCGGACATCCAGGGTGGCCAGCTCATCTGCGGGCAGAGGAGACCAGCGTCAGCCCTGCAGTGCGTGCACTGCGTGTGCGCTGCATGCACGCTGCATCCAGCCCATGCATGCACTGCACACACTCACGGCTCCACGCACACACACACTGCATGGACTCAGTGTCCTCGTGCACTGCACACGTGCACTGCGCCATGCACACATACACTGCATCCAGCCCATGCACGCACTGCACACATGCACTGCGCCATGCATGCACACACACTGCAAGGTCTCGTTGTCCCCGTGCACTGCACACACGCACGGCACCATGCATGCAGATGCACTGCATGGACTCAGTGTCTTCATGCACTGCACACACACAATGCATCTGCCCACACATGCGCTGCACAGACTCCATGCCGCTGTGCAGTGCCCACATGCAGTGCACACATACACTGCATCCTGCCCACGCATGCACTGCACAGCTGCACTGCACCCTGCCCACATGTGCTCCACACAGAGCTGGTGCCCGCATGCACTGCACACACACACTGAGCCCTGCCCACACACGCACTGCACAAACTCGGTGTCCCCGTGCACTGCACACACACACTGTGCCATGCATACACACAGACACTGCACAGACTCCGTGTCCCGGTGCATGCACACATGGGAAGTGATCGTATCCCTGTACTGAGCACTGGCGAGGCCGCGCCTCGAGTGCTGTCGTGCACTGCACACATGCACTGCACCCTGCCCACATGTGCACTGCACACATGTACTGCACCCTGCCCACGTGTGCTCCACACGGAGCTGGTGCCCGCATGCACTGCACACGCACACTGAGCCCTGCCCACACACGCACTGCACAAACTCGGTGTCCCCGTGCACTGCACACACACACTGCGCCATGCATACACACAGACACTGCACAGAGTCTGTATCCCTGTGCACTGCACACACGTACTGCGCCATGCACGCACACGCACCGCACAGACTCGGTGTCCCCGTGCACTGCACACACACACAGTGCCCTGCCCACACGTGCAGTGCACAGCTTGGCATCCCTGCGCAGTGCACACACGCGCTGCACCCTGCCCACACACACAGCGCGCAGACTCCGTGTCCCTGTGCATGCACACATGGGAAGTGATCGTATCCCTGTACTGAGCACTGGCGAGGCAGCGCCTCGAGTGCTGTGTTCAGCTTTGGCCCCCTCACTCCAAGCAGGACATTGAGGGGCTGGAGCGTGTCCAGAGAAGGGCAATGAGGCTGGTGAGGGGTCTAGAGAACAAGTCTTCTGAGGAAGCGGCTGAGGGAGCTGGGGCTGTTCAGTCTGGAGAAGAGGAGGCTGAGGGGAGACCTTCTCACTCTCTACAGCTCCCTGACAGGAGGGTGTAGTGAGGGGGTGTTGGTCTTTTCTCCCAAGTAACTAGTGACAGGATGAGAGGAAATGGCCTCAAGTTGCATCAGGGGAGTTTTAGATTGGCTGTTTGGAAAAGTTTCTTGACTGAAAGAGCGGTCAGGCACTGGACCAGGCTGCCCAGGGAGGTGGCGAAGTCCCCATCCCTGGAGGTGTTCAAAAAACATGCAGACGTGGCACTTCAGGACATGGTTTAGCAGGCATGGTGGTGATGGCTTGACGGTTGGACTGGATGATCTTAGAGGTCTTTTCCCACCTTAATGATTCTACGATTCTATGATTCTATGCACTGCCCTGCCCACTCCTGCACGGCACACGTGCAGGCACTGCACACGCACACACTCCACAGACTCAGTGTCCACACGCACTGCACACACGCGCTGCACCCTGCCCTTGCACGCGCTGCACATGCACTGCACCCTCACTGTTCCCACTTGCAGCACAGCCACGCTGCACCCCGCGGACTGAGCATCCATCACGTTTGCACTTCAGTCACGATGTCCCCGTGCCCACCCACTGCCCCGGGACCACTGCATGGGTACGGGGACTGCACGCCGACTGCATCACCCCGGCTTGTGGGGGCACGGCACTCAGACCCCCGCATCACGGGTACCTGCGCAGACAACGGCGGCATCTTCACGGTGCTGGCAGTTGGTGACACCCCAGGGGGACGTCAGGCACCCCAGGAGGGACGACTCGTTCCCTTGGCACCGCACATCGTCCAGCCAGATGGGCCCCATGCCCTCACCAAAAAAAGC